TCATACCCAAAGTTAGGCCCCAGATCCTAATATTTCATATTTGGAGTTTGAGAACTTCCTGAAATAGTTGCAATTTTCTGACTAATCATAATTGATTGTATCCCAAATCGCAGGCGAAAGTTGTTATTTTGTCCAACGACTGCATATCATTAAACGGTAAATTCTGGTGCAAAACCAGGAAGTTTCCAAGGAATTAAGTTGGAGCGCAAACCTGATTTATTCTCGTGCCATTGATCAGGGTATGGTGCGGAAGCAGTATCACTCAACATGGCGTAAGTTGAACTGAAATGCTGTGATGAGCAGTTTTAGCAACCCAAGAGCTTGTTGCATGTACCTGAAGAGTTCAGAAGTTCCGGATACGGAAGAGGAAGCTCCAGGCTGTGGATATTGCTGCCATTGAAAAGGGTCCATGGTAGGGGAGGATAGAACCTAAACTGGGTCCAAATTGATGTGTAGAACTAGCTATTATTCAAATTTCAGGATAAGCTTTGCTCCTTTTGTTTCTCTGCCTAAGTGTCCTCGCCAGATAGGTTTGGTTAGCTGTAGGCCCCCTATCCATCTCTTAAACTTTTCGTACTCTTTTGAATTCGATAACACTAGCGAAAAAGTGTGTACTAGGTAACCTTTGCGAGAGCGACAGGCAATTAACACAGAGTAACCCGGAATGTGTGGTTGAAGGTACTACATCATAAACGACTCAGAATAATTCACAAACTTGAAAATATGTCCATCCTCCTTTAAAGCAACTCGGATAAAAAAACCATTCTCACATGTAGCTTCTTCAGGATATCAGACAAAGAGCTCGCAAAGGGATATGTTGAGGAAGAAGGCTAAAGAGCTACTCAAAACAAGCTAGTTTTAGTATTAGTTTTTGCATAAAAATATAGTGTAATCGGAAGGGAAATGTCCAATTATTACCTACACACACAAGTTTTTTTCTACGGGAAAAAATCCGTCAAGTACTTGTAATTGAATTTGCAGACAAGAACATGATCAATATTGTGAGCACAGCAAAGGTCAGTGGATGAAATTCAGCAATACTCTGACAACCAGAAAGATCTGTTTCAAGTGCGCCTCCAAATTTTTTCCCAACTAAAGGGGCTATATTTTCTCCATTTCTCATATCTGTTTAGCAGTTTTTAAGAGTAATCTTTTTCTGTGCAAAAGTAATCCATAAGAGTTCATATTTCATCTAATTGCGTAGTCTTTGATTGATGAAAATTCATGAAATTACGAAGAAATTCAAACGAAGTTCCCATAAGGCAAGCTTTTACTTAAATTTTCGATCTAATTTGTTTTGAACTTCATCTTTATACTCAATTTTTCGTCATCTTCATCACGAGACACTTCGTTTTCTAATTACCCTGGTATTTGTCCGATGATGCAGTTTTCAAACTTTTCTTTTGATTACTAGGAGACTAAAGAGGATTGAAGACCCGTTCCAGTTGTCCTTCTTCACGCAATGTCTTGACGACGATAGGACGTTACATTTCAGCCGGATGCTCTTAAAAAAGTGTGCGGCTGGCAAAAAACCAGCTGAAAATTCTCTACCGTGTTGCGGTAAGGTCGACGGACTGACGCATCGCAGTGTGAGGCGATACGATCGACGATATTGGCGACAATCAATCGCGGTCAGGTTGTCGCACGGGCAGTGAAAACTCTATTAATTTATCCTTCGGGATCGTGACGGCCCAAGGACACGCTGGCGACGACGCCGCAAACCCCTCTTCGCGCCTCCGAGACCGTACAATAAGATCACCTATCTCGTATTATTTCGGTTTCCAAGAAGAAGGTAGTGTAGGCTAAGAGAAGAATGTTCTGAGGAGCAGCTCTATTGAAACATTGTAGAGGAATTGACGGAAAAAATAACATGAAGTAAAATAAAACAAAAACAAACTGCTTCAATAATAGTGTGGAATGTGTAGCCCCTACCTGCTTATTTGATAAAGTGTTAAATAAGACGCAGTGCGTAAATGTAAAATGACTTTGTATAGCACAGTTTTTCTTTTATAAGAAGCACCTTGTTTCTCGTACCCGCAGAAAAAAACGCTGAAGAGAAAGCGCAAAAACATTAAGATTGGCATAAAAAATGCTGTTTGAATGGAGTCTTAAACCAGTACTTTAATTGAAAAAAAAATACAATTTTGCGATGCAAATGATTGACCAATGGTAAATGAGGTGCACACATTGTCGCATTTGATACAACTTTGGAGAGTCAGAAAAAAAGCTGCGTGCAAATTATGCTTTTAGAGCTTGAGTAAAAATTCTTTCTTTCATTGAATAGTGAAGGAGACAAGGCACAACTCAAGACGTGAAAGGAAAGTGAGTGGGACAGTGGACCTAAGAGAATGTTTGAAAAGACCGCACTATTAATTAACAACACATACGAATGGGTATTGGTTTCGTAATTTTAACGATCCCATTGACAGTCTTTAGATTGCCTTGCTTATTACAAACACTCTTTTGCTGTATATTTTTTTTCAGAACAGCAAGTAGATGAGAAAACGCCGTTTCCTACCCAATGCTGGTAATTTCTTTCGTTTTAATCAACAGAGAAATCGAGAAAAAGAGCACTTCATTTCATAAGAAAGTGAGAATGATCCAAATTTATGTGCAATACGCCTCGATTCCAATATGACTGTTGCAAAATCGCAAATTTCCTATCAGTGATGTGGATCGAAAATTTAAATGCCTGACGCAGGAAGAAACTACAGAAACATCTATAGTAGTTGTTGTGGGCTTAAACACACATTGAAAAACTGTGAAATACTTTTTAGTATGGAACTGAATTACCGAGGGCGTAGTAAGGGATAAGCTGACGATATGTAGTGATTTTGCGATCCTCATATATAAACTTTCTCGAAACACAAGTTCCGTGTGGGAATTGATTTTTTCTGGAAATCAAGTGTCTTCTTGAACGTCATTACTAGGAGATTTAAAGAAGAAGAATGCACTGCATATTGGAGCAGTTGAGTTTGCAAAGAGAAGACACAAAAGGAGCCATTTAAGAGCACAGCAAGATTTAAGGTAATGAGGAGCGAAACATACCATTCCACTATTATTGGGCACATTCATGTCTGGAGTATCGGCGAGTAGATGTCGGAGCATCGAGCGTTACCTAATAATGGAACTGAAATGTGACATTTGGAGGAATCCCATATTTTCAAAGTGCTATATTTTGTTTGCAATCCCTAATCACCTTCCCGAGATTACCCAAAAGGGTGATCGCTCGATGTTCGCAATGGGGATGTGTGGCGCCCTTTGAACCTCTTCCGATACTGACCTAAATGTGTGTATTTGGGGTCACACGAGCTTTGAGCCTGGATCCGATCCAGAAACGAGCAACATAATCGATCAAGCACTCGCGGAAAACGAGTGTAGGACAACACGAGTGTAATGTAGCAACAGTGCATGCATAATTAATGTCAGCAAGGAAAATGGCAAGAAGAAATTATGGATGAGCAGATTGTATGCAAAGTGATACTATTATTAGACCAAAGAATGAGATGCTAACTTCCATGAATGGGAAACAGGTAGAATTACACAAAAGAGTAAAGGAGGGAACGATTCGCTAGAGCATAGGAGCAGCGAATTATGGATTCTCACCATTTTTGCAATCAGTGCAATATTTAATCGTTAAGTGGTCTAAATTTCGACTTGGCCGCCGCCCATGCCCCAATTAATGGAGACGGTCCTCTTCGGATACCGTAATAACCATCGGACTGGAGGGGCGAGAATTTATTGTTTCGCGTAGAGCGGTATGGCGGTGGTGTGGGGAAGTGTAGCGTGATCGAAACGTTACTACGGTAGCTATCAACGTCAACGTAACCATCGCAAATCACGATGGATGCCGTCCTTCAAACCTCAGCCGTTGACTCGCTAAAGACAAATGTTGAAAGTTTGTGTACTGAAAGGTTAAGACATTTAATGTCCTTGAACGATTTGCAAAGATGCTCTGCACTGAGCGAGGGTGGTAAGGACATCTAAGATTAGAAGCTATTATTCAAAAATTCAAGGTCCTCATCCTCGAATTAGACCATAAATGTGGTTCTTTTACAACATGTTCAATTAGAACCGAAACACTGTAAAAGTAAAATAATTTGAGCATAAACAGTCAATCCTCAATAGCTCATTCATGCTTTAGCGATTTCCCTCAAGAATTGGCTCACTTTCTAATATTCTTGATTTCACATGTACTGGTGAGCAAAGATGTCTAAATCTCGCGGAAAAGATTTTTTAAAAACTTAAGTGAAGTATCTCCCATTTGTAGTGGAAGGTCATGAACAGAGTGTAAAGTGTTCACTGATTATTGAAATATTACTCGAGCAATTAGTGTGAAGTTCCTTACATCTCGCCTCAATTATAAGAGACTGATTGTTATTTTTTTTACTGAAAATTTCCATATGGAAAAGTTCTACTGATAAATAACGTCGCTTGCACATATTACCTTGAGGAAGAGCTGAGGGGGAACTAGCGACACCGTTCCTCATCGAAATTTTGACTGATAGCAAAAGTTCATCGAATAAGAGAGTGTCTCACGTTAACGATGGAAGGTATGCTAGGAACTGCATTCAAATCAGGTAGAAACAGCGCAATGCTCCAGTCTATCGATTAGTTCATATTAGTATATAAAAATTGTGGTAAAAACCCAATGCTTTCATATAATCAAATCCTAAAGAGTTCGGAAAAGTTCCACAAGTTTTATTGAACTATGCAATAAAAATGTCGAAGCGCGAGATAGATACACTTGCAATGTCGTTAACTGTTTGTAATTTCAGTGTAAGACTAAAATGTACTCTTCAACCATTCGTTGTACCTCAGTACTATTTGTTACGGTATTCATTTGCGGAGCGTCTAAAAGAATGTGAACTCTTGGATATAGATAGCATCAAAGGACGATCTTATTCCAAAATAGAAAGGCGTGGGCAAAATGCAATGATATTTATTTTACTTGGAATTTTCGATGTACAAATAGAATTTGCTTTCAAATAGAGCACAGCCTGAAGTATCAAAGCTTCGAGATCCAGTGGTAAGGAACGAAAATATGCTTATCACGAAGCGAGAGCAGTTATCGTAACGACAATGAAACAGGAGATTATCATTTAAGAAGTTGTTGAAACACGTTTTCAAGTACTGAGCTAAAATAATGCCACAATTTCACATCACAAAAACGTTGTCCACAGAGGGGACCGAAACGTTGAATAACACAGCAGCATAACGACATTGTGCTTCCACTGTATAGAGATGCTTGAGCAGCTGGAGCACCAAAGAGAGGTAAAAGGC